ATTTTTCTAAGCCTCTCCCTCCCCACTCTCACTTTGGTATGAAGGATGGACAGCTACTAACTTCCCAAATATATCCTTTGGGTAGAAAAGTGTAGGGCCGCTACCTGTTTTGGGTTTATGCTTCACATTCTCACTCCAGGGGTCCTTCTATCATTTATGGTATGTTAGACTTTGCAAGCATCTGTTTTTTGACTGAGTTGCAGAACCTTCTGGCACTTTGAGGATGACTCCTTCACATTAATGCAGGCAGGATTTAGGGCTTACTTTCAGTTTATGGGTCACCTCAGAGAATCATGCCTTGGAAATTGAGGATGATAAGCAACAACATACATCCAAGGTGTGTATATTGAGTTCTTCCTACGTAACTACATACACATAGGTAAGTGTGCTGGTAAGATCATGAGGAACATACCAAAATGTCACCAACAGTTTAAATAATATAAAATAAAATCATACATTTGCAAGTTCTCCATGGAGACTTAAAGATAAAAACCAGGTGTTCCTTCTTTCATCCTGCAGCAGTTTACTGAATATCTACTTTGTGCCAGGCACCATGCTGGGGACTGGAAACCCAGAAGCGAATAAGACAAAGTCCCCATCCTCACAGTTCAGCAGCAATTGCAAGGACCAATTTTCCAGTGTTGATCCAGTAGTGTCCCAGAATATGGGACAAACAGGTCCTCTTATCTCTAGGAAGGTGACTTCTGATATTTGACCAGAGGCAGTTTTTCACTTTTCCATAGACCAGGTGAAATAACTCATTAAGACTACCCTATACCATGGCATCACTACATGGATGTGGTGATAACCATTGCTTTTAATGTGGCTCAAAGATATCTCCACAGTAGGGAAAAGAACCAAAGAGAAGGGGTGAGAATATTCTAAAACTAGAAAGTTGATCTTCACAGTGAATGAGTAGACCCATCTTGGCCTTGTCTATGGGCCTCTTACTCATTCACTCACTGTTGTAACAAAACTAATCCATGGTAAATTGGTAAAGTCTTGTTTTTAAATTAACAAAGCAGTGGCACAGATGTTTGTCTATTTGGAAAACAGATGATGTCAGCTGACATCAATGCACTGATCATTACGCCAGGCCCCTTTTCCTGTCCATTCTTTGTTATCCTCATGGGTTTGACTCTGTCCAATGTTTAATAAGCTTTCACACACATACTTTTAGTTCTCCAAAAACCCTATGGGGATATCCCAACCCCAATTTCATGAGTGAGAAAATCTAGCCCCAAATAAATTTGCTCAGCCTCCCATAGCTGCTCCTACCATGACAGTATTCAAACACAGAACCTCAGGATTAAACCAACATGCTTTCTATTATCCTATAGCTGTCTACTTTTATAATTTCACTTCTTACTTTTTACATATTGTTTCAGTAATCCTGGTGGGGAACTGTCTTACCATCTGCAGGAGTTTTGGGAGCAGTCACAGACTATTGACCAGGGGAGACCCTGCCATTTCCTGTTCTCTGCCCAGCCTTGGTTGAGCAGATTTATTGCTACATTTTTTCCTCTTATCTCATACACTGGAATCCAGTATCTTCCATGGATGTGTGCCAATTTTTAAAGTTAAGGGGAGCATGTGGGTAGTACACACTGAAATTTTCTATGAGTCTATTAATATTTTCATAGAGGCTGCTCAGAGTTTTAAGTTGACTAATTTTAAGATAAATTACCTCCTGAGGAAGACATCCTTTCCCTTCAATACTCCTCATACCCAATATAGACTTGTTTTTTGGGTATTATTCCTTTTTAGGGTTTCTCCTTAACACCCTGTGCTGAAAAGATAGGGATATTAGAAACAAGCAGCAGTCAAAGCTGACTTCGCTCTCAAGAAGGTGATCCAAATCTCCCTGATCTCTGTAGGGAATGGAGTGCTCCTAAGATCTTTATGCAGAAAGAGACTACTGTTTTGAAGGACTGGATAAATGCACATGGGTGAATCTCAATGCATTTCAAAATCTCCTGACTGACTGATTTTATCAGAACAGACAGATTTTAGGGGTGGAATATACATATATTATATATATGTATGTATGTATTGAGTGAAATACTTTTTCGCATGTTAAATAGAAGGTAAGTTAAAATGCACATATGCAAAATCTCTGCATTTGAGGCATATGAGTCTGCTAAGTGTAAAAAAACCCATATCATCTCCATGTAACAGTATTTTTCTGCTTTACTAGGGCAGTGGTGATAAAACACAAATGCAAACATTGAAAATAAACATGTTAACATGTTTTGGAACCCAATATTATAAGTGTCACTCTTAATACATTAAAATGAGTTAATTAGTAAGACTATGTCAAAACTAAAACAAAAATATTAGTCAGAGCCTAATTTATAACAATGTATATAAAACTGAAATATCTTCAATTTCAAAATTAATGACAACATTCTTTTTGAAGTAGTAGCTTTCCAGTATAAGATATAGCACATGGTATAAAGATATAACGTTAGCCATGCATTTTCAAAAACCTCACAAATAATAAAATACATACACTATTCACGATGTTCTGACCAGTCATTTTTTTTTTAACCGATTCTTCAACGAACCAATCTAATACGTGGGAATCACTGCCTCTTTCAACCAGACCAGGATGAAACAGACAGAACCAGTTTACACTGTACCACAGTCACTGGTAGACTGGGGAGGGTTCTCTCTAGTCTGTAGTCTTTCTGTAAATAGGATCTTATCTCCAAAGGGGTTATAAAATCAACATAGGCAAAATGAAGTTCCAGAGACCTGCCATTTCCCCTCTCAATAGCATACATTAGGCTTATCTGAAAGCCAATTATATTTATAGAGTAACAGATTCTTAGCCTAGGGTCATGCACTCTCTAATCCTATGTGAATTTAGGAATGAGGAGGACCTGCTGAATCTCAAGAGAATGACCTAGTAAACATAAAAACTCACCCTAGAATCTCTGCCCTGTGTCTACCCCTTCAGGGCGGCAGCACCATTCCTCCTATCCAGCCCCCCAACCCCCCCAGTCACCTAACACTAGGCATAAGTTCTCCTATTGCTCCATTTCCTACAAGTTCTCAAAGCTTAACCAGGAGTAGAAAACCTAACATTCTGCAAAAATTTCAGGAGGAAGCAGAAGGATGGCACATGGGACTGGACTACTTTTTTGCTGGCTACATGAGCTTGCTCATCATTACTAAGCCCAAACCCACGGAAATAAGTGTGTGATCATCCCACTCACATAAACACAAAGCAAATGTTAATAGACACTACTTTTTAGTTCCCTGACACACAATAGCTTTAAATAATGTCAAAATAGTCATTTAATAAGGGCACATATATTTTTTTTCTTCAATTGGATGCCTGTATATGGCACTGGGAATCCAATATTAAAGGGTCTATGTTTGTTTAAATTGTACTACAGTTCGCAGATCTCTTATAAAGGCACACATTCAATTTTCAAATATTCCAAATTGTAAAACTTGTGAGAACTGCATTTGTCTTACCCAGGGCTACAGAAAATCACTAAAAGCTACTGCCCATCTCACTACTGGAGACATCACCCTGCCCTACTCAGCAAGAGGTTATTCTCAGCAGTTGAGCTTTGAGGTAGTCCAGGACCCCACACCAGACCCAATACACACACTTGGCCATACCCATTGGCTCTGTGGGAACCTCTGAAGGCGAAGGGGGCCAATCTCATGCAAGCTTAAAGGATTTGAGAAAAAAGAAGGCTATGTGGAGTCAGCCACTTGGTTCTTTCCACCAGTATCCATGTGAGCAAGAGAGAATAATGGCAAGTAGGTATGTGAAAGGCAACCTGGTTTCAACTCTGGGCCTGTAGGCTCTCCCAGACATGTCTGATGTAGTCCCAGCAGGCAGCACTGCCTCAGTGGGGCAATGTCATGCACGGCAGGAGACACTGGAAGTCATGCTTTGATACTTGCATGAAAGAGGTAATGTAAGTTCTATTTTCAAGACTCACAATCCAGGGATTTTTTTTTTAATGCAAAATTGCTTCAGGTGGGAACGTAAATAAAGTTTTGTAACATTGGGTTATGTGCTTTTCTTAATCACATCAATCTCATCCATTCACTATAACCCCCCCATAGTACATTTTACTCAGGGTAGATACATAAAAATTCTGAAAAGTGACTTAAACATTCACCTACCTTCTACGTGGTCTCGAATATTCCCATCCTCCAGCAGCAAAGGCCTCAGGATACCCCGAAGAAGTGGAAATCAGTCACTGCACGGAAGAAATAACCCTAAAAGACACATTTAAATCACCATTAGCAGACAATTCCATTTTGGACTGGACATGTCCTACTTCTTACTCTTGCAGTGGGTAGCAGTGGAGGTTTGAAAGTGTCACTTTATTTCTTTGAACCTTGGTACCTTCATTTTATTTATTTATTTTTATTTAAATTTTAGAAAATGATTTATTTATGCATATAGAACTGGGGTACAGGTCAGAGGTGCAGGGGCGGTGAGAGGATTCACCAGAAACAGAGTGGGGAGCAGAACAGGCAGATCTACAAAGTACACTGCTGAGGAGAGCAGCAGGTGTGGCAGGAGAAGTCTGCCGCACCATGTGTGTCCCCTCCCGGGCAGGGATCAAACTCACACTGCAGCGGCTGCAGTGCTGTGCATCCTAACCAGTTGCGCCACTAGGGAGGACCCAGTACTTTCATTTTAAATAAGGTTAATGGCCAGAAGGGTCTCAAGTTTCTCCTAATCTAATCCATCCCCCCCCCCCCCCCCCCACCTCTGCCCAGCTATGGTTCTACAGTTGAAGAGCCCAAGCTGACACAACTCGATGGTCATACTCCAGGGGGCCAGCGCTTGGTAGATAGTGACTGGTTTTACAAAGGGGAAAAAATCAGTGATATCATAAACAGCTCTAGAATAATTGAAGGTCAGAATTAAACAGACACTACTCTCCACACATTTGTACTAACCGCTAGCTGAAATCGTGAAAGTTATTTTTTCAATAAAATAAGTTTCCTTCTTTTTAAAGGAAAGTTGTCAAGGATGCAGAAGGAAATGAAGATGGTCAAAAATGAGGACGTGCACTACGGTGTGGGCGTGAAGAGAGCCCCCTCTTTTCCCCACTGCCTGCAGCCTGTGGTAGCCCGCGGGAAAGCGCCTCAGAGACACCCCTTCCCAGAGGCTCTGCGCGGCCCTTTTTCCCAGTTCCGGTATGAACCTCCTCCAGGGGACCTCGACGGGGCATTTGAAGGAGGAGGGTCTCGCAAGCGCAAGAGCATGCCCACCAAGATGCCCTATAACCACCCTGCGGAAGAAGCCGCAGCGGCCCTTCACTCTGAGGAGAGCAAAGGCCACGGCCCGCGGAGCCTCCCCTTGCTGTTCCCGCAGCCTCCGCGTCCCAAATATGACTCGCAGATGATCGACCTGTGCAACGTGGGCTTCCAGTTCTACCGCACCCTGGAACATCTGGGGGGCAAACCAGTCAAGCAGGAGCCTGTGAAGCCCAGCGCCGTGTGGCCCCAGCCCACACCCCCGCCATTCCTGCCGGCGCCCTACCCCTACTACCCCAAAGTGCCCCCAGGCCTCATGTTCCCCTTCTTCATGCCCGCGTCTTCCCCGTTCCCTTTCAGCCGCCACACCTTCCTGCCCAAGCAGCCTCCGGAGCCGCTGCTGCCGCGGAAAGTGGAGCCCCGCGAGCGCGAAGAGGCTAAGCAGAAAGTGGAGCGCGTGGACGTGAACGTGCAGATTGACGACAGCTATTACGTAGACGTGGGCGGGGCGCAGAAGCGCTGGCAGTGCCCCACCTGCGACAAGTCCTACACCTCCAAGTACAACCTGGTCACCCACATCCTGGGCCACAGCGGGATCAAGCCGCACGCCTGCACCCGCTGCGGGAAGCTCTTCAAACAGCTCAGCCATCTGCACACCCACATGCTCACCCACCAGGGCACGCGGCCCCACAAATGCCAGGTGTGCCACAAGGCCTTCACCCAGACCAGCCACCTGAAGCGCCACATGATGCAGCACAGCGAGGTGAAGCCACACAACTGCCGTGTGTGTGGCCGGGGCTTTGCCTACCCTAGCGAGCTCAAGGCCCATGAGGCCAAGCACGCCAGCGGACGGGAGAACATCTGCGTGGAGTGCGGCCTCGACTTCCCCACCCTGGCCCAGCTGAAGAGGCACCTCACCACACACAGGGGCCCCATCCAGTACAACTGCTCCGAGTGTGACAAGACCTTCCAGTACCCGAGCCAGCTGCAGAACCACATGATGAAGCACAAAGACATCAGGCCCTACATCTGCTCAGAGTGTGGCATGGAGTTCGTGCAGCCACACCACCTCAAGCAGCACTCCCTCACCCACAAGGTACAAGGGTGGGGCTGGCAGGACCTTGGGTAACAGACAGAGCCTTAGGGGCCAGGGACCAGGAGCTTGGTCCAGGAGACCTGCGCTGCTCCCCTCCTCCCAAAAGGAGAAGCTGAGCAAGCCTGGGCTTGCCTTGCCTCAAACCTGACACCCTTCCTCACCTGGAAATGGATGAAGATGAGACTAGTGATCGTCTAGAGATCAAGAGCTTTCCCACCTAGCCTTCTTGAGCCTGAGTGTGGCCTAGGAATAAATGATGCTGGTAGTCTGGAGAGGAGAGTGAGGAAAGATGAAGCAAACAGCTGGCTGTGCAGGTGCCCCAAAGAATCCCTAAACTTTGGCTTCTGGAAACTAGACACTAGCAGGAATGTGTCATCAGACTTGATCTATTCGAGACCTGCTCTGTGCCGGGGACATACTAATTAAAACCATCCAGAGAATTCTAAATCATTCTCTTGGTTTTTTTGCTGATGAGGCAGTTACTACCTTTATTTTGTTTTCTTCCTCCACTGTGAGACCTGCTTCTTATGCAACTGGCTCCAGGGGAGAAGAGGCTGGCCTGAACCAGCAGGGCCTATGCTTCTCCTAGTGGAGGACCTGTCTAATTAAGTGCAGTGAGCTGTGGTTTGTTACTGTAGGCAGCATGGGAGAGCATCTTTCTCTATTTGGGTTTGGTTTTCTTTTCTCTGGACTTAGGTTTTCAATGAGGAATATAGGTCCATGGGTTTCAGTTCAGCCTAGTTTGCAACCAAAGCCCTGGAGTCATTCAGGATGACCTAAAAAAGGGCCTCAGTGGTATCTCTGGTATCTTACTCGAGCTCTGCTTATTTGGGTCTGCTTTGAATTTCTGTGAGGAGAGATTTGCCCCACTGACCTCTGCATTCACCCCCACGGCCACAAATGGTTTTCTTGGCAGACAGACTTCTAACAGACCAGAATTTCTAAAACATTCTTTAATTCTGAAAGGTCAGGGGAGGACTTTGCCCAGCTAAGATAACATTTCTGCTCTGCTGCAATGGGTTTCATTTGTTAGGTTAGAACAAAACGCAGGGCATTTTCTGGCTCTGCAGCAGAGGTGAAATGTGTGGCTGCCTTGTAGGCCCAGCACAAACAGCGCCTGCCCTCAAATGGCACCTGTAGATACCATTCAAGTGCAGGAACCTTCAAAAAAGAACCTAGACAGTGTTAATCACAACTGATTACAGAGGCTCCTGTGTGTTTGGAGAAGCAATCAAAGGTGCATTTGAGAACATGTAAAAATTCTGTATGAGTAGAGAATGAAGTCAAAGTAAGAAAACAGCCTGGTATCTGTAATGAATTTCCTTTGAATTAGGAAACTAAATGTATTTTAATTAAAGTCATCAGCAAATCATGAGAGGTATTATTTACTGATAATCTCTATGTGCAAAGTGCTTTACTTCTCATTTAATGCTCTTTAACTCTGATAAGATACCAATGGGTATCAACCCAAATCTGTAGATAAGACTCTGAGACATGAAAAAGTCACTCAGAAATCTCTGACTCCAGCCCCTGAGCTCTTGAACACCACTGTTCACACTGCCCCTTTCTCAACCTCTGCTCACCCTTAATAATCCTGTGGATCCCCTCTGGATCATTCTAGCAAGAACAATCCTTCCAGTAAGAGACCCAAACATACTCTTTAGTGCCCTAAAACTGAGGAGTGGTATTTCCTACCATGTCCCAGTTAAAGAAGTAGATATATAGGCAAAGAGATTCAGACCTGGGCTGGGAACCCCTCCCTCCTTAGTCAATTTTGGATACCAGGACTATGATTTCTCTGACCCTGTTAGAAACATAGCAGCTTCCTTTGTTCCCCAAAGTTGTGTCCACTCACTTGAGTTCTAGCCCACAGAATTCTCTTTAGAGAATTCCCAAAGCAGTGATAAATGTGGTTGTTTCTCCTTGGTTCCAGGACATCTGGATCCCACAGCCAGATACAGAAACAATTTTGAAAAGAAAGATGCCAAAGTAATTTTAAAATCCATCGAGAAAATAGTTCCCATTAATTTCATAATTTAAACTCACTGTTTGAATATGCAATACATTCTAAAAATTCATCCTTTGAGGAGGGTATTAAAAATTTGAGCTCTTTATTAGCACAAACCATACACATCTACAATCATCTAGAGAGTATCCTGGCTGGAAACTGTCCCAGGTTCTCATGACCTATCACTTCATTTTCAGATGAGGGAGCCTTCATCAGGAAAGGTCACAAATCTTATCTCGGGTCACACAGCTAGTAAGTTGTTAACAGAGACCCAAACACACACTTTAGGGTCTGGGATCGCCAAAACTGAGTGGTACTTTCTACCATGTCCCAAATTAAAGACTGGAAATAAAGAAAGCCAGCGCAGAGCTTGGAACCCCTCCCTCCTTCATGGAGTGCGGATATCAAGCTCTATGGGTTGTATAATGCATAGTTGTTCACTAACAGATTGTTCTAACCTGTGATAACCTCACTTTAATACCATGGTTCTCTAAGTCTTCCATCTAATAAGTTATTCTGGGTGATGAGATCTTGTAAAGGCCTTTTCAGGGCAGCACTAATTTGGATAATGCTCTACTCATGCTGAGCCCGAAATAACACTTTCCGTTGAGGGCACTGATGCTTCAGTATTCAAAAACTTCTCCACAAACAGCAAGGAAACTAGAAACTCTACTTCTGTGCTGTTTTCTAATCCATAAAGTTATCCTCAGTCAAATTTTTGTATAGAACAGAAACCAACTTATAGAAGGCTCTACAGCCAAATCATGCAGAGGTTACTATGGCCTGTGGGAACCCAGGGGATCCTCTCAGAGGTGATTATCAAGCTGCAGTTTATTGAAGTGTGGATGTGAGTTGTTCTGAGATTTGCAAATCCATTAATGAGAACTCAAGAGAATGTTGGTTTTCATATGGGAAATGATAATATCACTTTAGGAGGTCTTAGTTTTTCATTATCATGAAAGCTGGACTATAGATTTATTTCACATATCATTCCATTTGCTGTTCCCAAAATCCTATTAATCCCTGAGAATTGTTACTGTAGAATTAACCCCCGCAGCAGCAACAAAAGCAGTAGCTTCCTTTTCTACCAATGGTCTAGACAGTGGTTTTCAGTAGAAATAAAATATAAGCAACACTTTTCAAGAAAATAGTTAACTTAATGAGACCAAGGCCATACCATTTGGAACTCAGTGTGTGTCAACAAACTCTTCGTGGATTTACGTGTCAGAGAGAGAAGACCACATCCTGATGAAAGCATGTTACCTGCAAACCTATATATATTTATTTTTTATTTATTTATTTAACCTTCCTCCAGGGGGTGAAGGAGCACAAATGTGGGATCTGTGGGCGAGAGTTCACCCTGCTGGCCAACATGAAGAGACACGTGCTGATCCACACCAACATCCGTGCCTACCAGTGTCACCTCTGCTATAAGAGTTTTGTGCAGAAACAGACCCTCAAGGCGCACATGATCGTCCACTCTGATGTGAAGCCTTTCAAATGCAAGGTGGGCAGCACACCCTTCCGAGGGGCAGGCCTGACTGGGAGGCTCTCCAAGGAACCTTCTACTCCATTTCAGCATGGGGCTACTCAGGCTCAGAGCAGGTCCTCTGCACAGCGGCTGTTCTGCCCCCCTTCACATCCCCCTCAGCGGGCTGCCTATGGGCCCAGGCACTGGAGACAACCAGTAGGAGAAAGTCTGAGGGTTGTTAAAGGGTGAAGGTGATGTGGAGATGTCATTTTGAAAAAGAGATCAGGCGTAATAGCCTTTCCCTTGTTCAAGTCAGTAGAAGCCAGAGAGAAGATGAAGCGGCTCCTATCAACTGATTCCTCCTCCTCATCACTCGTGCTATCCTGCCCTTCTAACCTTGGGCTGAGCAGTGTGATTTGATGGCAGGACTCTCAGAGAAGTGAAAGCACTTCTGAGGCTAACTGCCCAGATGACCTCCTTATTAGGCTGAAAAATAACTGCACAGACACAAGTGTTTCCATTCATTCCCGAGGGCTCTGGAGCATGGGATTGAACATCTCCATTAAGGCCTATGTTAGATTAACTTGGCTAGATTTTTTTTTTCATTAGATGAAATTATGCATGAGCTGGCAATCTGTAAAGCCCAAAGCACTGACTGGGACTATTCAGTAATGTCTGGGCTTCCCAAGAAGCCTTCCCACCCTCCTCTTCAGCACTGTTTCCCTTCTCCATTTCTAAAATGAGGAGGAATCATGCTCAGTACTGGCTAGTTTAATACAAGGAATGTGTCAGCAAGTGTCACCCCAGACATGAAAAGATGGCTAAGGGGGGAGAAGAGAAAAATAGCTACTTATAGACTCTGTCAGAGCCTTTTGTTCAAAATGTAAGTTTTTCTCCTATCTGTCACTGCATGTTTAATGGGGTCCAAATAAATTCTCCACCGATTCCCAGTTCTAAATTAGGACCCCCTGCTTGCAGGGGCTGTTCCTGCTTTAATCTCCCTGCAGCATGTCCCCCACTTGAAGGAACCCCCTGTGAAGCTGACTTCTTTCCTGTGTTGGCCACTCCGGAATGGGGTGACAGGGGTCAGGAACCAGAGCTTTCCTAGACCTGTGTGGGCATCTCCGGAGGTGGGGGAGGGAGGATTATCCCTCCAGCCCTTTTCCTGCCACCTACTTGTGTTTCCCCTCCTTTCTTTAAGTTCCCGGTGGTTTGAAAGTCAGTTTATATCCATCTTGAATCTTCCAGGCTGAAAGGGAGCTTCGAAGCTGCATGCAGGATGGGCTACATAACTCAGAGAACCCAGGGCAAAATGAAAACGTGGGGCCCTTTGTTTAAACATTATGCATTTCAACTTGATAAAAGCAGAGCATTAAGCCCAGATTCAAGACCCTTCTGAGTAAGGGCCCTGGACACCACTGACCACCTCTTCTCTCGCTCTTTAGGGAGTTTTTCGAGTTCCTTGTGACTGCACAGAGCCTCTGGAGTCCCTCACATGTAGCAGAGCTGTCCAGCCTGCCAGGGACTATCTGGCTCCTGCAGAGGTGGTGCCACTCTTCATCCCTGGGGTTGACTTTACTCTTGGTCTCTGAATATATTTTCTTACCAACTAGTAATGGAACACATGAAGTTATTACTAGGAAGAGAACCACTGGCACAGTATATAGTCCCCTAAAAATCTACCCCTGTGCCATCTAACCATCTCCCTCTCACCTCTACTTTGTCAGTTCAGGGCTAGGAGCAGTGAACCAGGCAGAAAAAAAAATCCCTAAAATGGAAAGATATGTCAAGGGACAGGGACAATACAGGAAATGGCTGAGAGAAACAGTCTGCTTCCCTACCCTCAAGGGCCTCGGGGTTCTAGAGGGTATCTGGGAGCATATGGTAACCAAGGAGGCAAGGATTCTCTCTGGTACCATGCACAGAAGATGCACAGTGAGTGCTGCTGGGCCCAGTGGTGCAGAACCAGCTAGTTGGGTATTTCAGGTCCCCTTCATGAGTGACTGTCCCTTCTCCCCATCCTGGTGGTCAACTTTACTCTTTAAAAACTCAGTTTGCTGTTTCCTTGAGGTTGAGTTAGGCTCTGGATGTCTTGTCACACTGTTGGATCCCATAAGCTTTCTAGAGGAGTCCAGCGTTGGTAGGATGTATGGTTTATGTGCTAAATTGGGAGATAGGCCTGGTGCAGGAATTGAAGAGCTGGCCTTCTGTACTGGTCACTTCTTCCTCAGGAGACTACAATCCTGACAGGCTGCTTAAGAGAGTATATCTATCATAAGAACAAGGCATGGAGGCCAAACTTAGTGGCCCTTCGCCACTCCCAGACACTGAAGCAAGACACCCGTCAGGTGTACCGTAGGTTTTCCTCCTCGTCCCCATCTCCCTGCAGAGTGTCACCTGCCGTGGTGTCATTCTCTCATCCTTTTTCATTCAAAAGTGCTTCAGGGTGTGTCTGAGGTTACAGATCATGTAACAAGGTGGGCCTTGCTTCCCATCCATCTGTGCCAGATTCTTACCCAGGTACAAGTGGTTGGGGCTCTGAAGCTTGGAGAAGGAAACAAGGGCTATTGTCTCACCACTCTGCAGTTCACAGCCAGAGATGAATGATTGGCTGGCTGCATAGTGATGTCAGCAAGCAGGCCAGACAGCTAAATCAAGCTTTCTCCTGATGACAAAGAAGAGTTACTCCCTCCACATGACTGATGTGACTGCAAGAGTAAAGCCTTGCTCTTGTCTCACACTAAGAGTTAATTCTGTCTCCTTTCCCCAAAAACTTGCCAAGAAAGGAAATTCTTACAGTAACAGATTCTAATTTCTTAGGATTCTCCCTATTAAGAATCCTTCCTGACATAAATTCCTCCCCTAGTCACAACATAAAATGGTTCTTTCAGTCCCCTGCTCAGTGAAAACAGCTGTCCACAGCAAGCTGACACATTAACAATAGGATGGAAAATTAGAGGGGAGGAAAGGTTACCATTCTGTTTCTTTTTTCTTATAAAAATATTACTGCCCTTCTTGGCTCTTTTGCCATTGGCTCGATTTCTGGACTCCTTGCTTCTGGAAGCCAGCTGAGGTTGCTTCAGAGACCTGTGCCCATGGACTTAAGCTGTTTCAGAAATATGCTTCCCAGATTCTGCGTAAGCACGCAGAGGTTGATTTGGATGCTATCCTTATGGCAGCCACACTTATAATAGCAAAGAACCAGCTGCCGTCTTTGGGAAACCTGTCAGGAAAGGCAGCCATCCAGAATTTCCGGGACAAATTCTCCTTTGAGATGGGTGAAGCCCAGAGCTGCCTAAGTTATGAATCACCAGGTCATCTGTAGCCTGGTCTGAGGCAGAGGCCTGAAGGCGTAGGGAAGGGCTATTAGGACAGGATGAGGTCTCTCTGCAAAGGGTCCCCACCACCTCCACTAAGTTGGCTCCATTTCCCTCTCCTGCTCTTAGATGCTCCATAGGGGAGATACCAGGTGGGAGTCTTTTAGGCACCCGGAGCTTGGGATCAGGCTTGGCATGGAGGGGGTTAAGGCAGTGACCAGATAGCAGCCTTTTGGCAGCAAAGCCCTCCTCAGCAGAAGGAAGGATATAGCTGTATGAACTGCCTGCTTAACAATGCCTCACATGTCCCCAGAGGCCCGCCTGCAAATAGATTTCATCTTGCTTTCTCTTGTACTTTTCAAAGCTTCCTGTTTTCTCACGGTCCTTTTGGACAGTTTACAGTCTCTCTCTCCCTCCCTCCCTCTCTCTCCCTTTGAGGAAAGGAACACCCTTCTTATTAAAAGAGAGAGAGAGAGAGAGAAGAATGTAAGGGAAGGGCTGTTTAGCAGAGGCCATTCTCCTCAGCTGCAGGTCACAGCTCTTTGACCTTTTCTCTCAGAATAGGAAAACACAGACTTCCTGGTGCATCTTTGTCCTCACGCTCAGATCAGGCTGGCTGGCTCGACGTAGCGTGCCTCTTCTTGGCTCTGCAGGGTCTGGCTGGGCCCAGTGTCCACCGACTGCCATCGCCCTGTTTCTCCACACAGTTGACTTCTCAGTGGCCCTGGCTGTCAGGATTATTGTTGGGGCTTGGGCATGTTGCCTGAGGCACCTCCATACCCAGGGCTGGGAAGGGGCAGGGGCCCCAGGAGGACAGATTCAGAACTCCTCTGAGGACAAGGAACAAGGAGGCCGGGAGCAAACAGGGCTTTTGCTAACTGTTTATAGCATGAGAATTGGAGATTTCAGTTGGCCTCACCCAAAGTGTGCACTGTAGCATGGGTCTCTTCCCATCCATATTTCCCAGTGCTCTGTTGAACACAACTGCTCCCATTGTAATTGTTCCCCAAGTAACCTGGCAGGTATTTACTTCAAGGTGTCCTGACTTTGTCCTTCCTTTGATATTTGGCTTTAAAACACAGGATCGTCATCCTCAAATATCTTTCCATTTCTGTAATATAAAATAATCAACTACGAACATGTTAATGACAGTAATAAGAGTTAGTATTTATTGAGCTCTTACTGTTTGCCAAGCTCTTTACAGAATTGTCTCATTTGACCCTTCAGGAGAAACTACAAATATCATGAACGTTTTACTGAAAAGAAAACAGAGCAAGATCTCTGTCCCTCTAAGGTCTCACTGTCACTTTTCTGCTCTGCTATCTCAAAGCTTAATAATCTCTGCAGACTATTTTGAAAAACAGCTCAAAACATTTGTCCACCTTTTCTATTAAATGTTGAGGTTTGCCGCTCTCTTTAAAAAGCAGGCATAAAGGTGGGTGTAGCTGGAAAAGCGAGATCCAGGATTAGGCACGCTGATCATTAGGGCAACTGAGCGCTCAGAAGGGAGAGAGACGATGCAGCTGGCCATCTGCAAGATGCAGCCTTTGTTCTCGCCACCCCAGCAGCTTCCTCTGTCTGTTTTAGTCTGCAGACTTTGGCAGGAGATGATTCAGTAAGCCTTGCTTGGGCTAGCTCTTAGCTTCATATCTGGTGATTAAAGGGGGCTTTTTAGCTGACCATTTTAACCTAGAGAAGAAACTTAGCATTTGAATGCTCCTTCCTAACCCTTTTTCTTCCTTCTAGTCAGAATTTCCCTCCTCTACAACATGTGTGCTTAGAGTCACCTCTCAAGCCCCATTTGAGGGCGCCATCTTTAATTTACCCTCCTCCTGTGGCCTGTCCTCACTAGGAGTGACTGAAAAGCCTTGCTCTAAGTTTCACAGAGACAAATGTACCATACATTTGTCTAATGTCTTATGGAAAAGATGAAGAGGCCAAGTGTTCTGAATTAGGAACAAAGGACTTTGTGGAGAGGTCAGAAAGGAAGAAATCATAGATAGCTACCATGAGGATGTGAATGGTATCCAAGTCCCTTGGGTCTTGAGTTAACTGTCTCCATCCTTCTGCCACTGAGGATTTTTTGTGCAAACTAGTATGTATAGGGTTAGTATGGGAAAGGAATAAAGTTGGTGATGGTTGTATTTTGGAATTTTTGCAAGGAAGAGTAATAGATTTCGGATTTGCGTGTTTAGTCCCCCAATCAAGTACCTAGACAGTCATTAAATATTATTATGTACCCTGTGCTTAACACTAAGATTGAACACAAAGCAAAGGAAGGCAGACTTTGCATTTTTGAATACTACCTGGGATACCCTTAAGTGTCCCAAACATCTCTCAGAGCTAACATACCTCCCCTTAGCCCTGAGAAAGCTCTCCATTGCCTGGCCCATTAGGCCATGATAGAACCATGAAGGATTACTATGGTATATACAAATTAAAATTTGCCGACAGCAGGAAAATCATTCTCCTTTACCAATCACTCATCAGATCATGAAGCTGACCTGTCATGTCACATAGTGGCTTTTCCCTGATTCCTTGACTTCAAGAGACAATAATATTTTAATATTTTAATGTCCCTATGTAGTACTAAAATGTCCTGGAAAGTTCAGTAGTGAATGAATTGAATCAGAAAAACTTTATAGAGTACTGAGCTATAAACAGGATCATGTAAGGGTGATAGAGCTTAATAAATCTGTCTACTGAGAATAAAAGAACCAAGGGTCTGTCCCACATATAGAACTTCAATGAGGAAGTTAAGTTAGAGCACTGTTTCAGCCTTTCACCTTTTGGGTCACCTTTTCCAAATGAAAGTGACATGCAAGTGCCCTGAATACATCTTTTTAGGACACCAGTTTGTCAAATTCATGCTTGCCAGTTAGGAAGTATAAAGGGAAAAATACTTGAAACCCCCAAATATGAATCATTAAAAAATACAGAAGCAACCATTCATCACCCATGTGTGGCCTGCCAGTGCCGTATTTGTAATCCAGGTTGACTTCCTCTTACCGCCCAGCATTCCTTTAGGCTAATCTAAAGGATTAAATTTGGTTTAGCCTTTCTTTCATGGTCAGTTCAATTCTCACCTCTGTAGCTACCTGAAAAAGAGTTACCTTAATGAATAAAATAATTCATAATTTATTTAAAAATTCAACCCAGAATTATCACCTTTGACACTGAAAATATCTGTCAGTGGGAAAGAAAAACTGGCATCAAATGTTGGGGGACTCTGTATCTGGAGTCCCTATCCATGACACATCTCATTCACCCCTGAACATGGATCTTGGAGCTGGGGAGGAAAGGAGAATGTTCCTCTTATCACTCTGGCCCAAGAGCAGATGCAAAGTCCTCCTCTGACTTCTGCCCAGTGCAGCCAAGGAGGTCCAGAGCTTTGCTGGGCTTGGGGATGAGAAAAGGAGGGAAAGCACCATGGTCAGCTACTTCTGTTTATACCTTAGCATCTGTATGCATTGTCTTAGAAGAGGTAGTTCAGCCTGTTGTGATCCATCCATTCTTTGTGTTTTGATAGGAATATAGAAAAATGAAGTAGAAAGAAATGAATGTGTTTATTCTTTGTAAACATGTATACTGAGGTAATATTTCAGTACTTCACATCTCCCAGAGAAAAGAAACAGTCCTGCATTTACATCTCTGCGGTCTCTCTAACTCTGAAATCCAAGCCAGTAGTTTCCAAATTAATAAATGAGGAAAGTGTTGACTAATGCAGTCTGAAGAAGAGTTATGTTGAGACTGCAAAATAGGAATGTTGTCTCGAGTGGCCAATGACTGAGTTCATTATCCCACCCACCAGCTATATACCTTGATGAGTGTAACCTGAGCCTCAGTTTATCCTTCTCAAAAATCGGGGGAGGGTGATGACAACCCATCTCCTAGGATTGATGTGACAATTAAATGAAGTATTCCAAGGCAGACTCAGATAATGCCTTCTAACTGCTGACCTTTTCCAAACCTTGCACTCCAAAGAAGCACCAAGGGCTTTGTTTGTGTCTGCCGAACAGGAAAGCAGATCTCACAAATCTATCCCTACTTGAGCACAATCCCACACCTCTCTGACTTCCAGGAGAACATTTTCCTTAGCAGTGTAGGTGACAGCATGTCTGTCCTCACATAGACCTGGATCTGGGATCCTGGGGTGGGTCCCCGACCTGCAAGTAACCTGTGTTCTCTTTGCCACCGTCCGATAGCTGTGTGGGAAGGAATTCAACCGCATGCACAACCTGATGGGCCACATGCACCTGCACTCTGACAGCAAACCCTTCAAGTGCCTCTACTGCCCCAGCAAGTTCACTCTGAAGGGGAACCTGACACGTCACATGAAGGTCAAACACGGGGTCATGGAGCGGGGCCTTCATTCGCAAGGTAATCGTCCAGGAAGTCGGTCATAGCCAGCAGCTAACAGGCAGGAGCTGTACTCGTTTGTAGAGGCTTTACTTGGGGAGTTTATTCTTAATGTTGTAAAAGGGAGTATAATCTTTAAGACCACAGTAGAGTAGCAAGAGCAGGCTTATAGCAAATATAATGGTAATATCTGCAAATAGGAAGTCAAAGTGGGTCACAGAGCATCAGTTGGAACATCATGAGGACAACAGAACATTATTAGTTCTCAGCTCCAGCCTGCAGCAGGTGCCTTGCCTCCTTTAATCTTCAATACTCTAGGCTAGAGGGACGTCTGTTATCTCTGCTTTCCAGATGGGGGAGCAGAGGCTGTAGGTATTAATTTCCCCAAAGTCACTCAACTGACAAGTGACAGGATCAGGATTTGAACACAGACTTTCTTTACTCCCAAGTCTGACTCCGAAGCCTTTATTGTGTTCACTTCATGCCCTGCTGTCACCGAGACTTTCTTTCCTTTCTACAAAACAGTCCTGCAAGCTCTGTTGTCAACAGCAGCATGTCTTAGCAGGCTAAGACTCCTCCACTTTCTTCCCATCAGGTACACCAGGGACAATGTTCCTGCTGGTTAGGCCTGACTAGCTCTGTGCAGAACAGGGGGTTATGTGTCCCCTACTGAGTCTGAACTGAGCTGATGAAAAGTTTTCTCTTTTTTCTTCCTAGTCCCTTAGTTTGAGAACAGTATGTTCCAGATCTAATGGATTCATGAGTTGTCCCTCAGCCACCTAACGAGGCAGTGCTTCAGTCAACAGTCCATAATGCTCCTGTGCCCTGCAGTGTACTTTGTACACACAGCAGGCGTACCACTGGAGTGAGACCATCTATGCCCTCTAACAGCTCTATATGTGGGGTATAGGCCAGAGGTGCACATATGTGGTGCTTTAACCTGCTGCGCCACCAGGGAGGGCCCCACTTTGAAATTTTTTAACAGACTTTGAACAACTTTAATATTTCCATCTACAGAATGTGTTAATACTTTTCACCCTAGTTTTTGAAACATTAACCAGATTTTTAAAATCTCCCTGTGTGCCTGACAAGATGAAAGATACTGCAACCTTCATTGTCTGACAGTATCACCAAGAAGGCAAAGGAGGACAAAGGAATCCCCAGCTCAGGAGACTGCTTCTCCTGTGATGCAATGCTGCCTATTGCTCTTCTTCAGTCACCCCCAATTGTTCCTTGGCCCTATTGACTCCCCCACTGTAGAATCCTCAAGATTAATCCGTCAGCTACTAAAATGTCTCTTCCTCTAGGACCTCAAGCTAAAACTCCTATCACTGCCTTGACAGGAGGATGAGGGGGGCACTTATCCTCTTTGTCCTCCTATTCCATCTGTGCTTAGGGGTTCTAGTGATGAGGTGACCCCAAATGGGTAATTTTGTTTGTTTGTTTCAAGAACAAAATACCTTTATCATTTGGAATAAAGTACCTTTATTACTAAGTTGCCTCATAGTAAAATACCTGCTTACTATAAAAAAGTAACATAAGGGGCCCTCCCTGGTGGCACAGCAGGTTACAGGACCAAGAAGCTAAAGCCACTTCAGCATGAGTTTGATCCTTGCCCTGGAGGTGACCCACATGGTGCGGCAGACCCCTTGCTGCTGACCTGCCCGCTGCTCCCCTCAGCAGTGTACTTCATTAGTCATCCTGTTCTGCTCCCAACTCCCTCTGGTGAAACCTCTCACTGCGCCTGCACCTCTGGCCTGTACCCCAGCTCTGTATGAATAAACAAATAAATCTTTTTAGAAAAATAGTAACATAAATACATTAGAAGTCAAAAGAAAGATTTCAAAATAAACTCCGTTAATAATTTTTTTAAATTTTGGCATATATCCTTTTAAACATTTTTTGATAGAGAGATTAAATTGGTTTTATGATCATTCATAGATCTCTATGCGGTCTACACGTGGCTCATTGGATGAATGTACAATTATTTATATAACGAAACCTGTCATTAAATAAGTTGTTTTCATGGTTTCATTATATAAAATGTGATGATGAGCATCCCTGTACATATAATTGTGTCCCTGCTTGATGATTTTCATAGTTTAAATTCTCAGAAGGGTAACTGCTAAGTCAAACTCTGCTTATTTTAAAGCTTTGATGCATAATCCCAAATTTGCCTTAAAGGGGTTAATGCCAATTTTTAGAGTTCATCTATGACAAGGCCTATCTCTATGTCCTTAATGAGAACTTAACCTGTTTTTAAAATGTAAAATCAAGCACTGCTCAGTGACCCATGTTCAGGACTTCTCCTGGGGCTTGAATACTGCCTTTGCCTTCACAGGCTTCGGACGGGGGAGAACCACCCTGGCACAAGGAGCTGGGGCCCTGCGGAATCTGGAGCAGGATGAACCCTTTGACCTCTCCCAGAAGCGCCAGGGGAAGAGACCCACCTTCCATTCTGATGGGGAGAGTGGCAGGGGTAGCTCCTGCCATGAAGAGGAGGAGGATGACAACAACTATGAGCTGGAGCAGGGAAGCCCAGGGCTGGCTCCCCAGAGCAAGCAGCTCTGTTCACCCCAGGATCTAGCCACCCAGGTTGAGCAGGCTGCTGGGGTACCAGGGGAAGCCAGTGAGGAGGAGAAGGAAGACGACCCGAAAGAAAAAAGCCAGGAGAAGACTGGGGACGGTGTTGGGGAAGAGGGTGGCCAGGAAAGTGGCCTTCCCCCAAGAGACGAGTGTCTGGGCCTCCGGGCTCTGCAGAGCAACCGACGGGGCCCCTCCTTCCCTGATTACTTGTACTTCAAGCACAGAGATGAGAGCTTAAAAGAATTACTGGAGAGGAAAATGGAAAAACAAGCAGTACTCTTAGGTATCTAAGTGGACAGTTTTAAAATTACATTTGGAAAATGAGAACTAGGCAGTTCAAATATAGCTTTCCGCATGAGTTGTCATTTGCTGGAGATGAGTGAATGGTGCAAATCTTTACAAATGGCTTAGAATAAATGACCAGCGACCATCCTTTGTAATGTAAACGCGTCTTGGTCATTCATTGGGCCTTTGATTTTTAAGATATCTGCAGTAGAACAAACTGTACATATTTTTCTAGGTATCTAATTGTAAGTTGATGCTGAGGTGCTTATAGAAATTCTATTTTTCTTTACTAATACATAACACATGGTAAATTTCTTTCTAGTTGCAAAAATATGGTGCTTGACATGTTTATTAGTGATTAGTTAAATATGTAAACATTATTTTTCTAAGTACATGAAAATATTAGAAGTTGTATAGATAAAAACTGCTTTCTAGTATTAGAAATACTAGAAATGACAAAGGAGGGAAGAGTTATTGAAGAGGACGTTCTCAAGTAGTTTCTGTCAATATAAGGTAAAATTTCAAGAGATTGAATAATTTTGACTAAGGAAAAATCAGAAATACTTAGATTCCTGGCTGAATTTGCCGTTTCTGCTTCAGTTCAATCATCATGTGGCATTTGGACCTTATTTTCAGATGACCTGACGTTGCGCAGGGCTTACATGCTTGCCCCTGGAATCCTGAGCAGGATACCCTCTGAGGCTGTATGCCCCATAAGGCAGCAGCAAGAAGAGTTGTCACCCAGTGAGCAGTGCTGGAGCTGGAGCTTAAGAGGGGATTTCTTAAGGGATCAGTATCAGAACAGCCATCAGCTTGTTGACAATCATTTGGGGAGCCTTTAACATATATAATGCTGGAAATTCACCTCTTCTCCCCTCAGAGATTCTGATTTCTTTCTGATTTCTTTGGTCAGAAAGGGCCCAGCACTAGTGTTCTCCAGGTTTCTCCAGGTGATTTGTCTGTGCAGCCAGAGTTGAGAAAACTTGATGGAGCCAAAATAGTGATCCCCCCCCCCCCCCCCGCCCGACCCCCTCTCGGAAACTACATAATTATATCCATTCCTGGCTTCAGACTCACGAGCACTGAGAACCTTGGAGTCATACTGCGACTTAGGCCTTTTTATGTGTTCTGCAGGATCCTCTTGTGGATACAACTCACATTCACACTTTGTATTGACACACTCATTATAGATACACACTTTCTGTACCAGTGATGCCTGTGAAGTTTATGGTCACTAATATGTTGAAAAATGCTGGTTAATTTTTCCTAGATGCTTGAATCATGATTCCAGTGAGTGATGATGACTATAATGGGTTGAGCCCAGCAGGTAGGCTTTTCCTGGTGCCAAGTAAATGAGAATCTTATGTGGGACATCATAAGCAGAAACCCCCTGGCATTGTCTGGATTTATGGAAAAACTGCTTCTTGGTTGGTAGTTTCAACTCTTAAGTGTATAGCTAGGTACTGCTTATTATTTTGCTTCCTCCCCACCTAAAATTCTCAGTCCATTTCTTTAGAAGACCTGCCTCATCTCTGACAACTGGATGCTAGCTTTTTCTGTGGGCTGAAATGCTTTCCTGTGAACCACATCTGGTTCTCTCCTTAACCTGTGGACTTTACCAATCCTGATGGATTTCTTCTGCCAGCTGGCCTAAATCTCTTTCCTGTGCCCTGTCACTAAAGCTTCTTGGGTTTCCTACTGACAGCCATATTCTGAAGTTAGAGCATTTACAGAGGGGGTGTTGAGGGTAATACAGTGGGTTTCTGTGGTTACCAACTAAACTCTGGGCCAAGAACCTATTCCAAGTCCTCACTGGAACAACTTGCCTTCCAGTCATGATTGCGGCAGCTCAGTGCTGCAGGTAAAATTGCCTAGCTGGCTGGCAGAGTACCTCTGTTGAGGATTCAGCTCTTAGGGTTCTGTTATATATTCTTTCTTTCAGCAGTCACATATTGAAAACCTGCTATACAGATGCAGACTTCCAGTTAGTCCTGGAAATCCTAGCTGGAATAGGAACCAGGAGAGCTAGAATAAGCAGGTTTCAGTTTTTTCTAACCAAAACAAATAACATAGGAATATCCGTGGAAACCAGTTAATGTTGAGATGGAGAGCGTAGGGTCTAGAATTGTGGTTTTCAAATTGTGTGTTGAAGAACCAGAGGTGGGTCCCTCTTAGGCCCTTTCAGAGTTGCAAGGGGAGAAGCAGCAGCAGTGAGTCTGCCTACTCCCTTTATTCGGGGCAGTGCAAAATCTCATTTGCTTTATATGTCAACATTCCAAGTAAGATTTGATTTGGAGGGAAGAAAAAAGGTCTAGGAAGAGTAATTAGAAAATGTGTTATGGACTACATTCTAAAGCCTGTGTTGGTTCTTGATTCTGGGTATGAGAGACTCTAATTAATATAATTATACTGATTCTCTGAGAACTGAAGCTAACACCTTGGTTCAATTGTATGTTGAGTGACCAGTGTGCTGGTTTGTCTGGGACAACCCTGGCTTACACTTGTCCCAGAGTAATTGTTGAAATATCACCTTAACTCTTAAGAGTGTCCTCACTTGGTGATGAATTATATGAACACCCTGTGCACAAGTGAGCTACGGAAAGCCTTGACCAGCCATTGTCTAATGAGCAAATTAACCACACATAAGCCTGAAGGAGAGCTCCCTAGGGCCATCCTGAGATGATGAAAGTATAAAACATCCAAGGTCACAATACTCCACCATACATTCATCTCACTGAGATACTGAAAATAGGTTGCTACTAAATGCTTTCTCAGCTATCAACCTCTGTCACTTTAAATCAACCAACTGACCAACCAAGCGGCTTATTTTCCTTTTATTCATTTTATCCAGGCCTATTATTTCCCCCTCACATTGCCTTTCAATTCCTCTTTTATTCTCTCTTTTTTAAAAATTTGACTTCCCATTGGCCATGGGTCTGAGGCTGACCTTTCATAACCCCATAAGAGTAACTGGTATATTTGTATATGAGTAGTTGCATGAGGAAACCCAATGTGCATACTGTATTTATTAAGCCCTGAAGGAGTTTAATAAAATATTAACATTGTGTTTTGAATTATAATCTTTGTCTGCTTTGCTGGAACAAAATGTAACAGAGCTAACATTTAAAATCCTTTACATATTTGGACAACATTACACCAAATGTTGATTTTGTACAGAATTCTGGCTTGCTATTTAAAAACTAAAACTGCGAGTGTGTAGCAATCTGAGTTGTGAATATTGCTTTCTGCTTTGGTGAAAGGCAGTTTACCTGAAAATAGCATGTAACCTACATTTTGTTAATTTAAGCAAATAAAGATTATGTTGAAAAAGCTGAGTTAACTTTTTGCAAATACCTTATATAAGGAAGCTATCATTCTTAACATGTCACCCCTGACCCCCTCTCCCAGGGTGGCTCCCATTGGTTAATTTAAGACAAAAAAAAAAAAAAAAAAGATATTGGTTGGGACCTCAGCCCCAGGAATGCAAAGATATTCTAATCTCCCTCCCACAAACCTTCAAAACAAGTGAGCAGATTCATTACCTTTGCCAAGATTGTGATTTTTTTCCTTGTGTGCTCATCCTTGAAGAGGAAGAACAAAATATGTCCAGTAGCAGCTGTCACTTATAAATCAATGGTATTCTTAAGTCCCTAGATGAGGATGAGAACTTCTAACCCTGCAAATCTTGGGGTCATGGGCATGAAAAAGTATTTGCTTACTAATAAGTATGTCACTGTGACTGTGACAAGTGAGGCCACTCCTGCTTCCTCTCTAGCTCCTAGGACCTGAGCATTTTTCCTTTAGAGTACTAGCCCTCCTATACCATATATAAATCTTAATAAATTTACATACTAGAGTATGACCACCTATATTTGCTTCTGAGAAGTGATCTAGAGAGCTGGCTGTTACTGGGCAAGGTGAACTGTGTTCTGACCAGTAGGAAGATATGCTGGCCATGGACCTATCTCTACCTTATTTAGTATCACCTGAGTCCTATCATTTGATGGGATATGTGGGATTCTGTACCAGTAGCACAAATTCCCTCTATTTCCCCTCTGCATAATAGTGCTGGCTGAGGTTCTGTGAGCAAGAAGGACAAGCATGTGTCAATAATATGTATATATTTCTATGACAAAGAACTGCTGGCTCTTCAAGATGAAAGGGACTCTGTACAGTCAATTTCTCATCAAGTGATTGATTGGTCTTCTGGAACAATTTGCCTCTTAGAAGCTCAGCTGAACTAGATCAAACTAAAAAGTTTCTGTACAGGCCCTCCCTGGTGGCTCAGCGGGTTAAAGCACAGCACTAAGAAGCTTAAGCCACTTTTGCATGAGTTCGATTCCCGTCTGCCCCGGAGGAGATCTACATGGTGTGGCAGACCTCTCCTGACCCAACTGCTGCTCCCCTCAGCAGTGTACTTCATAGATCTGCCTGCTATGCTCCCTGCTCTGTCTCTGGTGAATCCTCTCACCCTCTGCATCTCTGGCCTGTACCCCAGTTCTGTATGAATAAATAAAATCTTAAAAAAAAAGTTTCTGTACAGCTAGAGACCTAGAGACAATAACCAAAATGAAGAGACAACCCACAGATTGGGAGAAAATATTTGTACTCCATACAACAGATAAGGAGCTGATATCAAAGATCTACAGAGAGCTCACATGACTCAACAAAAACAAAGCAAACAACCCAGTAAAAAAAAAAAAATGGGCAGAAGAGCTAAAAAGGCTCTTCTCCAAACAGGAAATGCAAATGACCAACAGGCATATGAAAAAATGTTCAACAGCTCTTATAATCAGGGAAATGCAAGTCAAAGCCACAATGAGATACCACCTCACAACAGTGAGAATGGCACATATTAAAAAAGCAATAATGACAAATGTTGACGAGGATATGGAGAAAAAGGAATACTCTTACACTGTTGGAGGGAATGCAAGCTGTGTGGAGGTTACTCAAATTACTAAAAATGGATGTGCCAGATGATCCAGTGATTCCACTCCTAGGAATCTACCCAAATGACACAAAAACATTAATTCAAAAGGAAACTTGCACTCTTATGTTTATTCTAGCATTATTTACAATAACTAAGATATGGAAACAACCTAAACATTCCAGATAACTGGATCCAGAAAATGTATTTTATATATATATAATATATATATATATATATATATTACATATATATAAATAAATA